TTTTTTTTTTTTTTTTTTTTTTTTTGGTATCGGGATCAAACTTGGGTCCTTACATTTGTGAGGCAGGCAGTGGAACCACTGAGCTAAATCCCTGGCCCTAGCACAGTGTGTTTTAACATAACTGAATCTGCAATCTCTGATAGCCACCTAATGCTTAAAGCTTGGGCTGCTGTGGCTTATGGGTTATATTAGCCTTTATAGATATTTCCATTTGTATACATTGTATTTATGTACATGTAGGTTTGGCTTAGGGCTATGCTCACATTATTTTCTATGTGTCCATTTATTATGAACAGCAGGCAAGCAGACATTTCACCTCATGCCTCGTTCTGGTCCTCATCATTCAAAAAATAATGTAAGATTTCCATTCTAAATTAAATACATCCAAGGTTATGCTTTTATCAATTCCTTTTTCTTAGTATCTCAAAATTCTAAAGTCTTCTTCCTTTGTCTCAAAAAGGGAAACTGCTGAAAGCATTTCCACCTGGATGTTTAAATTATTTAAGTTGCAGGAACCAGACCTTTTCCCTCCTGAGTAGTTGTGGGTTTTAAAGGCTAAAATTGCTTCATCATGCCAAAGTGAAAGTATGCATAAATTATTTAGTTAAACCTGAGAAAATACAGACTTTTCCCACTGATCTTTCAAGAGCTGTCTACTTAAATTTCAGAAGAGTGGGCAGGATTTTTTTTTTCTTTCTTTTAGAACATTTAAGTATCTGTTGTGTCTTCTATCAGTTGAAATGTGAACAAAATATAATCTTTTTAATTCGAAACTCCTTAACATCCAGCACGTCTATATCAAGCCCAAGGTGCATACTCTGCTAATGAATCAATACTGGTGAGACTCCTCTGGCCTGTAAGAATCATGAGCTCCTTCTGAAAATATTCTTATGAAGCTGTTACAGGTCTTTCCTGATGCTCACATAAAGACTGGGCAGGATTTCTCATGCAGTTTCCAGTCATCCAGCGTTTATATTTCAGTTATAAAAGTATGAAGTAAGGTAATTTTTAAATGCTATAAAAATTTGCTTGACATTTTAAATCTTCCTTTTTTTTCATTAGCTCTAGAAAATAAAAAGTTGTGTGTGATGATGCATGGTGCTTGTAGCAGTGGTGGTGTGTGTGTGTTTGTGTATAACATAGATAGATAACAGTAAAGAAGAATGAAAACAACCCAGAAATATGGGTAACAGAGATTCCTTTTCAAGTGTCTGTAGAGGAAGGCACTCAGTTCTCATGTATATTACAGAATCCCTCACATTAACCTCTGATCTCTAATTTAGTATTAATACTCTCGGTACATTCTCATAACTGAGTAAAGGATGGTATTTATAATTTACTATCTAAACTCAAATCCTGAAAGAAGTATTAATTGAGACAGGGAAAATCAGATTAACAAAAGCAAGTTCCCATATGAGTCATTTAGCACACAACTATCTGTTCATTTGAATCCATTTGAGTTTTACATTCATACAAGTTGGAGATGAGAGTGAATATTGTAGAAGACAGGCACATAATTTTAGTGGCTTTTTATGAAAAACATACAATACTTTTTAAAACTCTTCAAACAGGGTAAAACATTTCATCTCCAAATGACAGATATCACTTATCCCATTCATGTATGTTTAACATACTGCAGGCCCAGTAATCCTCTCAACTTGCTTTCCCTCCAAATTTCAGTGTAGTCGCTCTTGACTTGGCCTTGTTCTCAGCTCCTTCCTTCTTCTCTTACCTGGGTAGCTTCTACTGAATCGGATGAGTGATGATATACTTGTACTTTCATAATGTATCTGCTAAATAGTTAGCAATCCAAGTGTGGACTTTATGTGCTAAGTTGGATTTGTGCCCTAGAGGTGAAGAGAAGAGCACAGAGATAGAATCTCAGGTCAGGAATCAGGTCCGTGTCTAACATTAGGTGATTTAGGGGAAAGTTAGTAAACATTCCTTCATCTCTATTTACTTATCTATAAAGTTGCTGTTCCCTTCAACAGATTGTTATAATAATCCAATGGCAAATGTCCATGAACAGTAGATTAATGCATTCATCTAGGTTTTATATCATCAAACTGCCCTTTTAAATTTTGAAGAAAATGAGTCTCTGGGCATACCCGAGGCTCTAAACGCGGAGAGAGTGTTGAAATTCTACACAGCCCAAGTTTTTCTCCGTGTGTTTCTCTTGGGAGGAATGTCATGCTGGCCAGGACAAGGGTGAGGAGCCCTGACTCATGGTGACTTGTGAGAGCTGGAGCGACTGAAAGTAGACAGGAGGGAAACTTTTTGGTCAGGTGACTTCTTTCTAACTGTAGCAGGTTCTCAGATCCCTGAGCTGGCCCAAGATGAGAGAATGATCAGGAAAGAGAGTCTGGCAGAGCTCGCCCACATCGGTGTCATCTGATTGTGAAATCTGCTGGTTTGCATACTCTTACAGTACTGGAGCTTAAACCCTGGCCGCTGTACCCTCAACTGTACAAGAGCTGGACCTGAGGCTGAGGGGATTGTGTTTGACCAAAGAAGGAGGATTTTAGAGTTACTTCAAGGAAGTCTGTTAAATAAACATACTAATAGCATCGATTATTGAGATGGGGTATATGCAATACATTTTTAAACACTAGCTACACCATATATTGAAAAATTTGCAAAACTTCCCCATTTGAGTCAGTATTAATCATGCTAGAAGTAATCAGAGCTGGTCCAAAAAAGGAAGAAAGTAGATCTTTCGAACTTATCTAATTCCCACTGCAGTTACTTGAGGAAAATTGAAATGAAAGAAGCCAAAAAGGAATTTATGAATATATTTTAAACCTTAAAAATCCCACATACTGATCATTGAATTGTCTGCTTATGATTGGAGCAGGAACAGTCCCTTATTTCCACTCAACTACACTTACATTTTAAATTGTTGTTTCCTTTTCTCTTACATTACTACAAGAGAAAGGAAATGCCTAAGCAAATAAACTCTGTTAAAATAACTTTACAGTTGTGACACAGTTTGACAAAAGCAAAGGAAATTCAGAGTCACTGCTCACACTGTATCCTCAGCTGATTCCAACTGTGGAAAATAAGATGCTTAAAAAAACAATGGAACAAACTTGGGATAGACTCAGTCTTAGAGGCATGCTTCTTAAAAGCTGACTCTGACTTCTCTGTCTAAATTATATAAAAAAGCTGTAATGTACATGTTCATCATAAATCTGTTCAGAATTAAGGAAAAGTATTTGAGTATTTGAGAAAAGTCTTTGCTTGCAAAATGTGTTGCCTTTTTTGTTGTTTTGTTTTTTAAAGATCCTGTGATTCTAATTCAAAGAAGTAACTTCTTGGGCATGAGTAAGCTGCCTTGAAGAATACTTAAGCAATAATAATGGCTTCCTAGCATTTGATAAGATATTAAATTTAGCTCTTTGCAACAATGCTGTGAGCACTACTGCAAGGGGGTTATAAGAGAAAAAAAGAGAGCAAAGCAGTTTGACAAAAATCCCATATTCGCTACCTCTATGCAAATTATAAATGTAACAGAGAGATGATATACTATTTTTATTAAACATATAATATGCTGCACAAATAGTGTTTACATAGACCAGTATAAAGTTAATTCCCTCCTGGGAAGCATTTCTAAAAAATATAAATTGGGTTTTGAGAGTTAATCAATTTGCTTTTTCTCTTTTGGCATTTTAATTGAAACCTCCAAACTGTGTGCTACTTCAAAGTATCAGAAAGCAAATATCAGTTGTGCAGTTATAAAATCAACTCTTAATTTTCTTTCAATGAAGTAGCAGATAGTTAGCCTGTAAATTTCACCTATATTACTATGGAGCTGCAGTCCAATAAATTCAAAACAGTGTGCAGGTTGGTGGAAATTGAGGTCCAGGCAGCAAGGCATGTCCATAAACTTCTCTCAGGTTATTGGAACAGAACGAATCAAAAGCGGTTCCTGGTTGTATGATATTCTCTTTTGATAGAGCAGGCTGCTTGTTGTTAGCAATCCAAGTGCAGAGGTTAGTCAGAGCAGAATGTAATTTCTAGCAATCTGACAGACCTACGGATTGAAGCGGCAGGTTTTCCCTTCCGATTTCAGGGAATTGCTTCTTACTGTGACAAATGATTAGCTGTTATCTCTGACTGAATTTGATTTCTACAAGCAGCTGAGTCAGGTAACTTTGCAGCATTTGAGGGGGGTTTTTACAGGAAATGAAATCGGCTCCCTCGTCATATGTGGACCAAATGAAATCTTCCTTGTCAGGGCAAAATTGTGCTTTTGGTTAATTGGAGGCAGATTTATCATAGAAGGTGTATGCTCATGTCTGCTGGGGGGCACGCCCATGTGTGTACATTTACATAAACGAGGGACCA